GTGAGAGGGCGGGGCGCGCACGCCGCGCGCGCCGGGGAACCAATCAGCGGCCGCGCGGGCGTTGCCATGGCCACTCCGCGTGTTGGGAGCCGCGCAGGTACCGGGCCATGGAGCCGCGGGCGCCTTTCCCGGGCCCAGGGCTGGCGAGGGTCCCTGCAGCCTCGCGCCCCTAGACACCCGCCTCCGCCCGGTTTCCCGAGCGCCCGGCATGAACCGCAAGAAGCTGCAGAAGCTGACGGACACCTTAACGAAGAATTCCAAGCATTGTAAGTAAGAACCAAGCGCCGGATTGGCAGAGGCTCCGGTCCAGGTCTCGTGCCCTACGGGGGCTAAAAGGTTGTGCCCAACCTGCTTTCCAAATGCCAGCCTTGGGGCCTTGGAGTGCCCTCCACCAGCAGCCCGAAAGAGAAGCCTGGAAGAAAATACCTGGCTGCTAGCTCTTTGGAGCAGGCTCCCGAGCCTGCCAATTATCTTAAGGGTGTCCCGGCGTCTAAGACTCCCCCCCGCCCCCCCCAAGTACACTTGCTTGCCTCTCAAGCGCTCTTCTTCATTTACCTTTACATTATAGAACGTGATTCATATACCCCGGAGGCACATGTGGTTCTAGCCTCAGACATAGTGTAAAGTGAGTTCTAAAAACCAGGGACTGGAGAAAAGTAGTACAGCCAACATCCACCTGCATGCTAGCTCCCCAGAGCAACTGAACTGGCAGGGTCCAATTCTGGATGCTTCCCGGGATATCTGTCCATAAGGGGGAATGCGACCAAGGACTGGACGCCCCTAGGTAAGACACCTGTGTCAGAGCCAGGAGGAAAGTGGAACCACAGAGCTCACCAAAGCTAAACACATGGTCAAGAATCTGTACCCGAATCTAGACTTTTCCACTTTCCAGCTGCGGGCAGGATGGAAAGGTAAAGGGCACTTGGCAGGTGACTAGGCTGAGTCCTTCTTAAAGGCATCTGCTCCAATTGCGCATTCTAAAAGGTGGTTCTAGAATTTCAGAGTAACTTCAGAATTGTATTCAGGCTGAAAAACAGAACTCTGCTTGGGCCAGGAAGCTCAGGCTATGGGCTTAGGACTGCTTTCAGTTCTTTGGGGTCTATACCCAGAAGTGAAATCCCTGGATTACACAACATTTCTGTGTTTAATTTTTTTCCTTGATGAACTGATACACCATTTTCTACTGCAACTAATAGCTCTTTAAAAAATGATAATCATTATGCTCTTGTCTATTTAATTTATTTACCAAACCTATTTGTTTTTCAAGGTCTTCAATATTCCCCCTACAGTCTGGTACCCCACCCAGAAATCACACTCAAGCCTGGAGGATTAGATGTGACTTCTCTATGTTCCATCTTCTTTTGCATGCACCTAGGCTTTGTTTTAAAAAAGACTTTGTCTTGTTTTGAAATAAAGCCATCCCCATTTTCTACCTATAATTCATATTTAAGCTCACTTTTATGTTCTTAATGCTAGGCAATAACCCTCCCACTTGCATATCTCAAATGGGGACTGGAACACAAATAATTAGCTCAGTCTTTAAAAACACTACCCTTTATATGTGTGTGGGCAAATATGAATATGTGTTTATCCTTTTAATAAAAACTGCCTTCATCCAAAGTACTACTGAACAGTTGCATGTTAATTTTCACATCAGCTGCAACAAGAACCACAGGAGTGCTAAAACATGCTTAAACACTTTTTTTTTTTAATTGGAAAATAGGTGGTTTTTATTTCCAATATCTGACTTATGCATTTACTAAGGCTGATATGAAATAAAAATTGTTTCCTGACTTTCAGGAGCCTGGTATCTATTTCCAGGGAAATGTTAAGTTACAAATCTCACGAACGCCTATAATCAAAATGTGGGGGAAAGTTACCGTTCTTAAGCATTATCATCCTACTTTGAGTTATGTCTCTACTGCCTTATAAAGTTTAGGATCTGACCCCACAATCATTATTCAGGTAACTCGGCTGATACTATCTTCTTTTTCCCTAAGTGTGGCTGAACCTGCGTCTGTTTAATATTGGAGGGGAGGCTTTTCCTCTCATTTTAGTGGAGAATCCTCTGTAGTAGCCATTCTCTATTCACTTAAGGATCATGAAGCTCAAAACAGAATTGTCGTCTGCCCTGGCCGGGCGGCTCCGTTGGTTGGAGTGCCCCCCCAGACACGAGGAGGTTGATCCCAGGGCAGGGCAGGTACCTGGGTTGCAGTTGGATCCCTGACCCTGGTTGGCAACCAGTCGATGTTTCTCTCTCACATGGATGTTTCTCTCTCTCTAAAAAAATCAATAAAACANCTCTCTCTAAAAATCAATAAAAACATATCCTCAGGCGCGGATTTAAAAAACACACAGGGTTGTTTACAACTACATATTTAAGGTTTTGCTAGTGTTTGTCTATAAATTCATTAATGCAAAATTTGAGTTAGAAATTAAAGATGAAAATACTTTTTTTGTTTTGTTATATCTTAACTTTGTTCTTTCACAGTTAATAAATTTGAAGTGAAATGTCTTATCAATCTTTTCTATAACTTGGTGGGAGATGGAACAGAGCGGCAAGGTGTGGCCATTGGGCTGGATCGTAATGCATTTCGGAACATCTTGCATGTAACATTTGGAATGACAGATGACATGATTATGGACAGAGGTAAGAGGGAACACAAATCCAATCATAACTGGGGGGAAAAGTTTGGAGTTTGGGTGTAGTGTTTGTGAAAAGCTTAATGTTCTGCATTCCCGATTTCACTTGAATACAAAATTTAAATTTTTATATTCAAGAAAAAGATCATAAGAGAGGGAAATGGGAGTGAGGGGGGCAGGAGAGGGTAAAGGGAGCATAAATGGTGATGGAAAAAGACATGACTTGGGGGGGTGAACACAATACAATATACAGATGGTGTATTTTAGAATTATGTACCTTAACCCTATATAATTTTATTAACCAATGTCACCCCAATAAATTCAGTTTAAAAAAAAGAGAAAGATCATAGGGATGGAAATAATATCTACTCTATTTTGTGTATTTAAGAAATGGACAAAGTCAGCTTGAATAATTAGGTTTCCCTTACTTTATACCACAAAACCTGAAGTATTTCTATTTTTAGTTAGTAAATATAGTAAGAATAGTTTTAAAAGGACATTTGAGTTTTTTTACAGCATTGAAAAGTATTTCACTAAGAATTAAGATACAGTCCTATCACTTAATAAAGTATTGCATTTATTGAGTAACAAAAGTATAAAATTATATGTTTTATGTTAATATAGCAACATATTTATATGTTAATAGTTAATGATTAATATATTTAGATATTCAGAATTTACTTTGTGCCCACAAAATATGAGGAGAAAATATGAAAGTTTAAATAAAAAATGCCTTAGTTTCTTCCTTTGTCAAATGAGAATGTTGGGTCCTATGACCCTGAAGTTTTGTTTCAAGTTTAACAGTGACTAGTACCAATGCAGACACAGCACTGAGATGAAAAAGGCAGCACACGTACTCTATTCACTGCTTTTTCTTTTTAGTATTCCGAGGTTTCGATAAAGACAACGACGGTTGTGTAAACGTATCAGAGTGGGTATGTGGATTATCGCTGTTCCTTCGAGGAACCTTGGAAGAAAAAATGAAATGTAAGATTTCAGGTTACCCTACTGGTCTGCACATCACGATGAACATATCCAAACACATTAAGTCCATTTCCTCCAACCCAGCCAGTGGAGGAGGTTGTCGGTTGGTTGGTTGGGTTGAATTCCCATTTGCCTCTTTTACGGAGCAAATTCAAGTCAATGGTAAAGGTTGAAAAAAATTAATTAAAAGGAAATTTAAGAGATTCTGAAAAGTAGTTCCTGTCAACCAAGACTGCATAGGCTCATGCTATACATGCTAATCAAGCTCATATGCATTTAAATTAAAGGTATTAAGTGTTTTTCATATTTACTTGAATTGTAACCATAAAAGTAGGGAATATTGAATCTAGTGTTCTGATTCTTAGTTGATTCTTAATATTGATGAACTCTGTTTAAGAATTACATCACATTAAAAATGTTTAATAAAACAATTAAAATAAAGAATTATATTTCAATCAGTTTTCCAAGAGTTTTAAGATGAAAATTTTCAACTTACTGCTTTTTTTAATCTTAATTTTATTCATTAAAAAAAATTTATCTTTATTGTTGAAAGTATTACAGATGCCCCCTCTATTTCCCCCTTGACTCCCTCCACAATGCACACCTCTTAAGGCCCTCACCACTATTGCCTGTGTTATGCATATATGCATATGAGTTCTTTGGTTAATCTCTTCCCACCACCCCACCCCCTTCAGTCTATTCCATGCTTCCATGTCTCTGAATCTATTTTGCTCATCAGTATATTTTGTTCATTAGGCCCCACATATGAGTGAGATCATGTGATGCTTGTCTTTCTCTGACTGGCTTATTTCACTTAGCACAATATCTGGAGAGTATTATGCCAACTTATTGTTTCTTGTCATGCTTTTCCATAGCTGAGTGCAATGCAACTTTTTCTAAGGATTGTTGCATATATTCAACAAGGGAGCATTAAGCATTTATTATGGAAATTAGATTGTGCTAAGGCCTGTGGCATTGATAAGAACATCAGTATAGACCTTGGCCTTGAAAATGTTATCAGAGCAAATGTTACCTTAAGGATAGCATCACATCGTAACTGGCTATTTTTTTTAAAGATTGCTTTGAAGTGTTTGATCTGAATGGTGATGGATTCATTTCCAAGGAGGAAATGTTCCACATGCTGAAGAACAGCCTCCTCAAGCAGCCATCGGAAGAAGACCCCGATGAAGGAATCAAAGATTTGGTTGAAATAACACTTAAGAAAATGGTAACTATGTATAATTTAGAGTTTTATATTAAAATTTACAGGCTGGTGTGGGATAAAGCTAATAACTCAGATTACAGCAACTATCAGTTTCCTGCTTGGGGACATCAAACATTTGGATTGTGCTCTTTTATTATAGTATTGATAGTTCTTGTCAATTTCACTATTTAGTCTCATTTCTCTAATACCTTTTTTCCGTTAACACTTGACTGTGAAAAGACAGTTGTATTGGTGATAAGTATTTCACACATTGACTAACGTATGGCTGGTCACCACTAGGATCATGACCATGATGGGAAATTGTCCTTCTCAGACTATGAACAAGCTGTGAGAGAAGAGACCCTTCTACTGGAAGCCTTTGGACCATGTCTACCTGACCCGAAGGTAAAGAAAGATATGACTGCCCTGGCCGGGTGGCTCCTGGAGAGCTGGGTCGTGTAGCCTTGCTCATCTCTGTAAGCCCATACCGAGTACTGTGCCTGGAATAGAGTCTGCACTGGCACCATCTCTACATGAATTAAAAACGCGTGGGCATCAGGACTTGATCCCCAGGCTTCCTGTGTTCTCTTGTGTCTCTTCAGAGGAGACGGAGTATTTGGTTTGCTCCACCTTTTTTGGAAGTCTGTGCTAATTTGAGCATTTCCATTTCACAGAGCCATATGGAATTCGAAGCCCATGTATTCAAAGATCCAAATGAATACAGTGAAATCTGAAGAGCTAAATGTCCCTGTCATCTCAAGTGAGTACGAAAAGGGAGTTGCATATGTAGTGTCTGCTTTTTTCTACTTAGCTCAGAAAGATGACGTTGGATTGTGTGTTTGGGGTGGGGAATGGTGTTCACTTACATATATCATTCAACTTTGGCGTAAAAACTGAGGAAATTGGATGGAAGACAAGTTTCTTATTAGATGTTGTTGGGTTTGGGTTCAACATCACTAGAGGTATTTTATACCTAGACATTTGTGGAGGCACATCACTGTCGTAAAATGTGTGTATTAATGAAATGAATAGCGAGAGTATATAATCTTGAGTTACACAAGGCAATTAAGTCAAATGTTCTTCATGTCAGAAAAATGCTGGGTATAATAAAATTAAAAATCATTGAAACTGCTGAATGCCTTTTGGAGCAGTAAATAATTAAGATGGCATCAAATGATACTGGCATTTCACAACTAAATACCTTTCTGCTCGGCATTGATGGAGATTTAGAGAGATTAAGAAACACATAACCTATTTTACTATGATCTATATTATTGTTTGAGGCTTTGCCATTCCACCTGACCAGACTGTAAGTGTCTGAGGGCATTGACAGCCATCGTACCCATCTGTATATCATGTAGCAGTTAGCACAGCCCTCTGCACAGAACGGGCTCTCAATAAGTACCGTGGATCGAAAAGCACAAAGCACAAGATAAATCCAGACTCTAGGCAAGCAGAGGTAGGAGAAAGTACTGTTTCTTGAGTTTAATGAATGCTGCTTGGGCACAGCTTTCTGTTTATCCCTGGAGTCATCCTGGCCGCCCCCTCCCTGCCGTTGCACTCAGCTGGCAAGCCTGCTCTGGCTCCCTCTGTTTCTCTCCCCCAACTCCACTCTTTGTCTCCATAAAAGGGTGTACTTAGGTGGCATCCCCTCACCGCCAGGGATGCCCCGTGTGTACTCTCTTATAAGGGGACCTGGCTTCCCCTCTGCCTTCCACTATCCAGCAGCTGCCTGTGGGCATTGGATGGAAGCATGAAAAGACGGGGCCTAGTTATGTTCTGTGAGTTACTGTTCATCTCTTCAGTAAACATGGGCAAGTACTGGATATCTCTCCTGTCAAAATATAAATATTTACCAGCTACTTGGATATTAAATACCTTTCACTACATATATATTACTAAGATAAAGCAAAAGAGTACATGGTATTTAAAAACAGATAGTTACAAATAAGTGGAATAAGCAATTCTAAGAAATAAAGATATTTTACTGTCCAAGTATTTTCTTAAAATTTTAGATTGTTATTTAGATGGACTTTGACACAATTTTTCTACCTTGAGTGTGTGTAAAGAATGAAATACACAATGTCTTTCATTTTTTCATTGTATTTTTCTGATTACAAAGTAATAGAGATTCACTGAAGAATACTTCAGAAGTTTAGGAAATTAAACAAATGAAATTAAATTATTCATCAATATTCTGGTATAGGCTCTTTCAGGTTTTCTGAAGGCATTCTATATATTTTTAGGTGATCACATTGGAAATGCTCTTTTGTAAGCTGCTTGTTTTGGGTACCACTATCTCGCGAACATTTTCTCAGGTCATCAGACATTTGTCTACAGCCTCACTCATCGTGACTGCCTGGTGTCCCATCACCACAGACCTCATTAAACCACTTCCCTGCCATTGACATTGTGGTTGTGCCCACGTTTTTTGCTATGATAAATAATTTCCAAAGTGAACTATCCTTATAGATAAATCTTTCCACATGCACCACTGGTTATTTACTTGGGGTAAGTGTATAAATGTGGGAATGTTGGGTTAGAGGCCAGTGTAATGTTGAGGTTTCTAGCACATGGTACCAGATGGCCCTCCAGGAAGGCCTGCTGTGCCCGGCGCATGAGCACGCCGATTTTTTCCATATGGTACACATTCCTTTAACTTCTTTGCTAATGTCATGGACCATCATTGACCATGAGTTTAATCAACATTTAAAGAACTAATCATATACATCTGTACCTAGACATTCTATTGTAGTTTGATTAAAAATTGTCTTCCATGTGAATAACCCTGTTTTATTACATGATATTATTTAAAACTAAAAAAATCTTCTTAAAAAATTCTACGTAATTTAAGTGAAACTTAAGACGATGTCAGTACTTGGCCATGAGATCTCCTGGGCTCTGTTCACAAGCTTTCCTGTATATTACAGAACACACCCCTTGGCCATTCCTCATCAGAATCTGCCCCAATCATTTTCCTTTGCTAGTATATCTAGATCTCTGGATTCTCTTAATTTCACTACTGTAGCAACTCATAAGTGATTTTAACACTGAAAGTTTACTCAGCTTAATAGCAGGGTCATCTGAGTACAGAGTACCTTTGAGGACGAGATTCCTTCCCTCTCGCTCCAAGCTCTGCCGCCCCTCGCCTCCTGCCGCCAGGCTTGTCCCGAGCCCGCCCTCGAGGCACAGCCAGGGTCGCTCAGCCCTGTGTTTGCCTGCCTTTGGGCTGGTGAGGTTAGGACTATGGATGAACAACTATAATTTGGAAGGCTGAGCATAGCCTTCCTCTCACTGACTTCTTCCAACTGGCTTCCCCTTCCCTTCCCCTCCCGGGGCTCTGCAAAGACCAGCGGCAAGCGGGGCGGGCCCACTGGGGAGAGGGGCGCACCGCCGGCAGGCAGCATGGACAGATTCTGTTTGGGAAACAATCAAGGGCTTTTTTTTAACAACAGGATTTGAAAGCTGCCACTGCAAACTGGCAGTCCCGCATTCTTAACCTGTAAATGTCTTTGGGTGCAAGATTGCACTTGTAAGGAGCCAAGCCAGCAATTGCTTGCGTGATAAAGTCATCCGAAGCATTCCCCAGGGCCTGCCCTGTGCTGAGCCGTGAGGGTTACGCTGCTTTGGGTCAGCTGCCCTGCCCTCAGCTTGTTCGCGTCGTCCACTGAGGACTCCACGCGCGTGACCGCTCTGTCATCACTCAGCACTGTTCAGATTCACTGTGACAGTCCCCCTCCTGCCTTCTTCTCCCCTGCCCCCCAAAAACATTATATAATTTTTAATTAAAGGATATTATTAAAGGTAATTAAATATGCTTTGACCCTAGAAAGACGGCAATGTCTGTGAGAGGTTTCTCCGAGCTGCTCCTTAGCGTGTCCGTTTTTCCTGGTGCATTTTATCCAACTGTGTCCATTTTCTCCCAGAATCACGCCGAGCTCCCCGAGAGTCGCCCAGAACCGACGACGAATCCTCACCAAGTGTGGCAAAGAAAGGGTGGGGCTATGAAATATGCATAATAAAATAAAACTTTGACCCATACCCATGTTAAGTACGGTTTATCAAATTGTGGGGCTTGGTTGGGAATCGTCCAGAACGAGTTGGAAGTAAAATGCTTGTCTTTTCTGGCATTGCAGCCGCCCTTCTGCTAGAGCAAAGCAAACGATCCTCCAAGTGTTTCCTTCGGTCTCAGGTGCCACTGAAGGAGGGGCCGCCTGAGCACAGCCAAGCAGATCGAAGCTCCTCGCAGGAGACGTGTCGGGAGGAAGCCTGCTCGGTTCCCTGGGGGAGCAGGGAAGGAAGGAAGCCTGGCAGGGGACAGTGTGTGTGAAACAGAGCGTGCTTCTTCATTGGAAATGTCTCTCCGAGTGCCGTCACCTTCGGCAGCAGTTACTGCCCGCAGTCCCATCACTGGTCAGCTGTGGCTTTCTGCGTTCCTCATGCCTCCTTCCTAATCTGTCGGGAATGTGTTTCTTCCCCGGAGACACACATCCTCTTGTTTATCTGCACCTCCTCCCACCTGGCCATCCCACACTGCCCCTATTATGTGGCCCAGCCAGACTCACAGAGTTCCCGGGGCGGAAAGTGTGTCAACTTGGAGGGCATTTGAATAAGCTGGGTGAAGCACAGTCCTTCTGCCTTTAACCTGAGCTGCACCTTCCTGTCTCCTGTCCCCATCTCTCGAGTCATGGTGTGGCCCGAGGGACACCACATCTCAGAGCCAGGCAGCGGGGAGCCTGGAGATGGAGCATGACATGCCCTTTGGCAGGGGAATTTACAAGTTCCCTCTGCAAGTGGCATCTGGAACTCGAGTCACCACCTCCTGGTAGAAGGAATTAGCCCTGCAGCACAGGGCAGTCCAGGAGATGAATTAAAACCACTCAAGTTTCCTTTAATGAGTCCTTCAGAAAGAGTCATAAAGTAGAGTATGGGGAACAAAGCAGCCCCCCTAATCCCTACAATACATTGTACAATAATCCACCAAACATGTTTGTTCCAGGGATTATCTAAACACTACACCCATTATCTCATTTCTCACAACTATCCTGAGAGGTTAACATAACTACTACTTAACAGTTTCATCCAACAGATGGAGAAAATTGAAGTTTGGGAAAATCAAGAAACTCCCTCAGTGTCCCACACTGGTAAAGAGCAAAGCCGAGACTCCGGCCTGGTCTGGTTCCCTCGTTAGAGACCTGTCTCTAAAGCATGTTCACTCCTCTCAGCGTAGGGCCCCCCGAGCGCGGAGTGACTTAGAGCTCCCGGTTCCTGAAGGGCCTTCAAACCGCCCCTTCGGGCCTCCCTGGAGGCGCTGTGTGATTCACGTGTACGGGGGTGGGACCCTTGACAGCTCTCTGCGGGGCACTCTTCTCATCTGACGCACCCGGGAATTCTGGAATTTCCTTTCTTTAGTTGAAGTTTCCAGTTTGGAAGTAAAAGCGTCCGTGTTTGGTACCAATATCACTCTGAACCTTAGGCCGGGCCCGTGCCTTGCCAGGAGCCCAGATATTTGTGACTAGTAGCCAGCTGTCAGACTCTATGACTCCAAGGTCAGCACAGGAGCGAAAGTGAGATGTGTGTTGACCAATGACGGAAGCTGAGACCACTGCTGGTCTATGAGGACAATGGCAGAAGTCACCCGGGACGGAGGGAAAGGGCTGGACGCCTTCAGTGAGGGAGGAGAAGGACTGTTTGTTTGGGCAGCTTGGGCGGTGTCCGAGAAATGCTCCTATCCAAGCAAGAAGATGCCAACGGTGATAAGCCATGTGGTCAAGCAGCAAACACAAGAAATGACCACATGGCACCCATTAAGGGACAGTAATTAGCCTAAGGGTGTACAACTAGTAGAGCCGGACCTTCGACTTGCAGGCCAGGCCCTTAACCAGGTTGTAGCTCCGACTGTCTCACTGTCATGGGATGACATTGCCTTGCACAGACTGCATGAACTTGAAGGCCTCGCACAAGTGAAGGGTGATTTATAGACTGGTAGGGACCATGGTGTCTGTCATCCGAACTGCCACAACATGGAGAGGAAGTTGTTGCTGATAATTACATCAGGATTATGTCATGTGGGGTTGTCCCTACACTCGGGGAGCACAGCCTAAGACCCCAGATTTGCTGTTGTCTTGGGTGGGGAGCAGCAGGAGGAAGACCAGAGAGAAAAGGTCAAGAGGATGTGAGATGAAAACTGAGTAGAGGCAAAGTTTTATGGCATGCATTTTTTAAAGGACAGAGTTAAGCCCTGGCCAGTGTGGCTCAGTTGATTGAGCATCTGCCCATGTCCCAGAGGTCACCAGTTCCATTCCCGGTCAGGGCACATGCCCGGGTTGCAGTCTCGATCCCCAGCAGGGGGTGTGCAGAAGGCTATGGATCAGTGTTTCTCTCATCATTGATGTTTCTCTCTCTCCCTTTCTCTCTGAAATCAGTAAAAACATATTTTTTTAAAAAGAAAACAGCTAAGCAGGAGAGTTAAGGGTGGGGTGCTTTCCCCTCTCTTTACGTATAATTACAGAAAATCAAATGGCGGGGGTAAGAGCCACAGCCTGGCTCCGCGGGCCTGTTGAGAAGTCAGTGGAGGGCAGAAGATACCATCGCGGGCAGAGCAGGATGTGGAGCAGGCCAGGGCCTGCCGCCGGCTCAGGTATGTGGCTGAGAGGCAAGGAGCTGGCCTGCGGCAGGTGCAGCGCAGCCAGTGCCCATCGGCCTCGGGAAGAGAAAACCTGCAGGTGCAGTTGGGACATGCCCTGAGTCTCCAAAGCCACGCGTTTTTCTGAATAGTTGTCCTAGCTTCATTGTCTGCCTGCAAGATTACGGTTTTCAGCAGCAGGGGATGAGAGAGGGAGTGGCTTGGTGGAGTCTCCAGCTCTGGGGCTTTGATGACACATGCCAGCTGCTGCACAAGTGAGCGGCAGTCGGCCAGAGGAGGTGAGAGAGTGATGGTGGGGACCTGCCCCAGCGGCCCCGTGCAGCCCCCGACCCGGGAGGGCTCTCCTCTCTCCAGAGGCCACGGTGGACACGGGGAGTTTTCTGGTTCCAGCTCAGCCCTGCCCTCCTGCCCTCCACTCTGGACATCTCTTTGCTCCGACCTCAGCCCTCCCTGGGCCTCATGAGTGACTAGGTGAGCGTCCCACCTCAGTGCTCCAGTCCCCAGGACTCCCAAATGCTACTTGCACTCTCCTGGGGCATCCCGGACTCAACACAGGTTCACACACACTCAGTGCTCAGTGGTTCTCTGCCGAAGGATCTCTTGGTCCCTCTCATGACCTGACATCAGAGGAAGTTTTGCAAATAAGCAAGTGTCATGGTCAGCTGGAAGCAGGGGAGAGATGGGTCCACGTGTCTTTTGCAAACTCCCGATACTTGGTCAAGGGGAACTGCCCCCACCCCCTTCGGAAAAAGGCTATTAGAG